AGCAGGAAAAAAAGCTTACACCCAGGTGACAAGAAAAACAAGAGCGACAACTCCAAAGGCAGCACTTACTTCAATAGGATGGCTGTTGTCTAAGGCATCAAGCTCTTGAGCTCGTGTGTAATCAGCAGAAACAAACTGAGTCCAGATATCGTACTCCGGGAAACAGTGATCGACACACAGGTACTCAATCCAGGAGGCAAATCCTTCGTTCAGCCAGAGGTGGGTCCACCATTCCTGGAAAGACAAGAAGGCAGAATAAAGAACAAAATTCTAAGAGCGTTATTAAATCAGCAAGAATTTTCCAGCAAACATAAGCTGTTAATGGTCTAGTTTAGTATAAATCAGAGAAACAGGCGACACTTGTAAGCACAAATCTCTCTCTAGAAAGAATTCACCAGCCCAAGAAGAGTAATCAGCACCCAAAAACTGTCTTCCTCTCTGTCTGAAGTTTTAGAAACTGCGTGGAGAACTGCTCCAGGTAGAAATGAAACTCCCGGAGACAGAGCAGAGGCTCTGGGGGAACAGCGGGGAGCGTTAGCCACCCAGGGAGCAGAGTCAGTGACGTGCAAGGCCACAGTGCAGCAAGAAGCAGCAGAATCATGGGCAACACAACAGTGCCTTCTTCCAGCAGCAACTGCAGAAGACTGACTTTGTTTGGGTTTGTGGGTTTTATGCTAAAGAGTTGGCTTACATAAAGGAGAAAACCTGGAATGTCAAAAAGCGTTCGGCTATGGAAACCTGAAATCGAGTGAACAGTTAGAAGTTGTTTCTTGCCAGCCAAAGGTGGGCTTTGGGGGTTTTTAAGAGAAGAACGTTACATCCACGTTTTTAAACTCTTCCCTTCATTTCTACTATTCAACCAAGGCAGGCGAGATACAGAGACAAGCTGCGGATACCACGGAAGAAACCCCCATTTCCATAGCTGCCCTTTCCAGCCGTTCTCTAACGGCGAGCAGGGCGGACGAGGCTGCGATGACATCGGCCCGTCGGTAAAAGGAGCTCAAGAGGATGTAGAATCAGGGCAGCACGCTGTTCTACAGAGCTGCTGCTTCTGCTGTGAATGGAACATTTACCCCAGGGAGGGTGGAATTTCAGTCAGGAAAGCTGTGACTGAAATTCTGCACAGATAAGCCTCGCTTTATTTTTAGAGTGGAGACTATCCCATTTTCTTCTAGGTTTCTGATCACATCTGTTTCCAAGACAAGGCTCCAATACACACGGATTGGTGCCAGAGGATCAATGCAACCGCAAAACAGCTTCTTGGGCAACTAGGTTGGACTCCTCAATCTTTTAGCCTCCCTGATTTTCTCTCTAACCCCACTGGAACCCAATTTCTCATGCGTTTCCCTCGGAAGGACTCCAGCTGCATTTATCTTCACTGCAGAGCTGGCACAGCATGCTGGCCAGCAAGATCTGGTACGGCTGAACTAAACCAGTGATGCTACCGAGGCTTTCTGCCTGCGGTTCACACCTCGGATTACGGAGGAGAGAAAGCTGACTTCCTGGGAACCGAGAAGTGACAGATTCACAGAGT